ATTATCCAATAATTCATTAGAATCAGACTCCTTCCGTTCTGCTCTGCTCCTAGCATATCCTTCAAGATCTTCAGATGTGCCCTAAGTGTCTCCATGCCTGAGATTCTTGTATACATGGATTGTACGTTAAAGCATAACGATCCTCTGAAAAAATGCATACGAATTCTTCACGCTTCTTGATTATCCGTAATTTACCATTTTAAGCGTAAAGCATATGAATTTCGGCATTATACGTCTTAGTTGTTCCCCTTCTTCATGTCCTAGCAACACTCCTTGAGCAGAGGAGAAGTAGAGGCCAGCGGAAGTGTGATTAGATCTTATTAAATCCGCTCAAAGGGGTTTAATTTTGGAGTAGGTCAAAATAGACAAGTTCTGATAGCGAAAGGGTATAAACAAGGATACTGTGTTGGAGAATTTACCAGGACAGGAAAGACATCACAACAGTTCAGCAGATATTTAGTTTATGAATGGACTACTCTTGTGTCTATCGAGACTCACTGATCATGCCAGTAAGACGTCTCGGAAAGTACCAATTCAACTTTCCGACGCTGGAAATTAGTATTATCACTGTGACAGAGGACTCTGGTCTCTACGACCAGTTCGCGAAAACCTTGTTAAACCACCTCTACATGGCGAAAAAGGACGGCGATCAAAACGTATGCCGCGCTACCTTGGTCTTTATTCTTTCGATTTATCGTTATTGATGTTCGGTGCATTGAAATTTGTGTACCTGATAGATGAAGTTTTCACTATTACAATAAAGTTGATTTGCTCGTCTCCATTTAAATATTATTCTAAAAATATTATATGGGTACCATGCATTTAAAATGCCAATCGTTTATTTTTGGTTTACGTGTCATAGATATCGTTCCGATGAGAAAGCAGCTATGTTGGGTGAAAATTTTTTAAACGAAGATGAAAGAATGGATTTTTATGCAGAACCTGTGCACAAAAGACGCGATTCATTACACGTTCTTCTCATGGGTAATATACCTCTACTTGAATACTTTCTTTCTTTTTTATTCTTCCCGCTGATAAACTCACATTTTTCTGAGGAACGAGTGACTGGTACATTTTTATACACTTCATTTCTCTTTTAAACCATACCAACGCTGCATTTTTTTTTACCAAAAGCCTTCTAAATTTGTAAAAGATATCTACCGGGATCAAGGGAATATCACTTAATTATAATGAGCTGTGCTTTGAAAGTTCGTTGACTCTTTTATCTTAAGGAGCTTTCGAATAGTAGTTTTATTAATATTTAATGTTTCTTATCCGATTACCGCTGGCCAGGCGATCCGGGAATTGGCAAGAGCCAGCTACTCCGGGCTGTAACTAGCATAGCACCGCGCTCTGTATACGTCTGCGGCAATTCGGCAACCTCAGCCGGGCTTACAGTTAGCACAACGCGTACATCAAGTGCTAGTGGCGGTTTCGGTCTAGAAGCCGGTGCGCTAGTGCTTGCCGACCGAGTAAGTGATCATATTAAATATACTGCTTTCTGAACCTCTATATATTCATTGCCTTATTTTACCTAATATGCTAAAGGCTGTGGCGATCATGCTTTTTGCTAAAAGCCGCTTAATTGAGATCCCCCTTATACAACATACAATTATATTAGTATATTTGATTTGGTAGAAAATATATTTCATAATATCTTTGAGCAATGTCTCTTCTGAGTATGCTTGTAATAGCTCTCATGAGTTTTTGGGATTTTTTTGGAAAGTAAACTAGAAATGAAATACGTTTAAAAACTTATCTGGTAAAGCATACTCGAATAGATTCCCTGAACTCGGAAGTTTACATCTGACAACCTTCCTAACTCATGTGTTACACCAGGGCTGTTGTTGCCTGGATGAATTTGATAAACTGCCAACGCATGAGCCAGACGTGCTTCTCGAGGCCATGGAGCAGCAAACTATCAGCCTAGCTCGCGGCGGCGTTGTCGCTAGTCTTCCAGCCCGAGTAACTTTGATTGCGGCCGCTAATCCAGTCGGTGGGCACTACGATTTGTCTCGTCGACTCCAGGCTAACATCAGGCTCCCAGATGCTTTGCTTTCACGGTACCATCAATACCTCCACCTTTCTTAACCTTTTACTCGATTATTTACTTTTATCATTAAGATACAAATAATGCTAAGAGGATCATTAATTTCAATACATGCCAGATGAAGTAGTATGTAACTACTAAATTATAAGGCAATTTTCAACATGAACTTTTATTCGTTATATTGAAGCTCTAGGTCTCATTTTTGTTATCATTATCTAACCATTCACATATCATCATATGGACTTTAAAATATATTCTTTCGACAGGCTTTACTTAATTTGACCATGTTACTTCTGTGCTTTAACAAGATGAATTTATCTTTTTTTTAGTATTTGTTCATTACTGGTACCGCGATGTGACATTATTATGCAAATTGTTGGACCTTTTTTCGAAGTTGGGACCTCAACTTTCCTGCATTTAATGACAAGAGGCGCATCGTGATCTTCCGTTTCTTTCGCACAATAGCTAACAGTTAAGGAGGCAGGCTAACAATACAATTATCCCATTGAGAACAAGTATACTTCGTTTATATGTAGGCTTTTCGAGACTATCAATAGATCATATATGTGAGGTTTACTCATCCCATATCGTTGAGGGTGATAAAAGGACGGGTATTTGAACAACTCAGAATGGTATAAATATATAACGACGTTTTCATTTAATTTTACTTAGTCTTGCATTCCCAAAAGTTATTCTCATTCAGGATGGACTTCAGTTTCGACCTCGGCTAGGTCTTGTCAACACCCCCAGCGTGACTCGAAACATGGTACTGGAGCGCATGCTATTAGCAGGTTAACCACTACGTCACATTGCTACGAGTTCCCTTGGGTCAGAGGGCAGACGTGAATTTCAGGGAAGGCCAGGCATTTTCTAATATCAAATTCTGTGGTGGGATTGTCGATGAAGCAAAGTTATACTTTGTTAAGGGACCTTCATTTCGTAGGAAAATGCATAAGGAAGAGATTCGTTAGTCAATCTCACCAGATGAGGACGGATGAAATTGTTGTACTGCAGCCGGTTTGATTGTATAAGATATTCATGTTGACGCAGTCCACGGGACTTCCTCCCTCGTTTCGGATGAAAACGTGCTGAGCTTTCGTCCATCATATGATGGACATCATCAAAGCTGGGTGTCATTCTTGTAAAAGGCAAGTATGAGTGAGATAATGAGATATGAGCTTGTAAGCATGTAAGCCAAGTTACGAAACCACTTTTCCTAACCTCTCGGTCTAGGTTCATTAACGTTTAACCCTCTAAGCAAAGGCATGACTGGGGCTGCGTAATTTGGCACGTCTGGTTTGGTTGATGAGCTTAATCTAACATGTTCGACGAGTGTGAGTGAAGTTATAACCATCACCGAGCAAACAAATTGAGTCGCCTTCTTTTTGACGGCGGCTCAACAACCTCTCTATTTTAATCTATCAATCAAGCATAAATAATTCCCACTCAAATTTCTACCACCGTTCCTCACATTTAACGTATTTCCTAAGCTATTAATTTCAATAGCCTCTCATCCTTCTTTTAAGCACAGGCGTAGCATAATCAGCAAGCCTACTAGTTTGAGACCATTCTATTTCATGTCTAGTTTCTACCATGTTTTCGGCCACTTCTGACCGTTTGATCCAGCTACCTTTGCAAGCATTTTTGTGTTCTACCAATCTTTGTCGACTAGGTCGGCATGTCTCATC